GTATTTACTTCTCACAATCCTGGAGGTTGGGAAGTACAAGATGAAGGTGCTGGCAGATTCAATGTCTCGTGAGGGCCCACTTCCCAATTCCTAAACAGCTGACTTCTAGCTGTGCCCTAATGGTAGAAAGGGCTAGGGAGCTCTGTGGGGTCTCTTTTTATAAGACACTAATTCCATTCATGAATGGCGAACCCTCATGACTTAAACACCTCTCAAAGGCCCCACCTCTCAATACCATAATCTTTGGGGGTTAAGATTTCAATATATGAAATTTGGGGGGACACATTCAGACCATACCAGTGGTGATATTAACAAATGTGATTTTTAAAATTTTATGTAATGTAATATGCCATCATTTGGGAAGATCTGCATAATTCAGTGAACTAATATTTTCTAAATGACCAATGTGGAATCACACATGGATAAAAAATTATTCAAAGTGCAAGACAGGCATGAGGCTTAATGTAACAGTGTAGAAAAAAGTTCATTGATGTGGTTTCAGACTCCAAATTGCAATTAATCTTCAAGGAGTTATCACTTGAGGAGTTTCAGTGTAACATCAAAGAATATCCATGATTGTTTCAAAATGCTATTAAAATAGCCCTCCCTTTCCAACTACTTATCTGTGTGAGGCTGGATGTTCTTCCTATACTTCAAACCAACATAGCACCACAGATGGAATGCAGAAGTAGATACGAGAATTCAGCTGTCTTCTATTAAGGTGGGCACCAAAGACATGTCAGAAGTATAACACAGTGTCAGCCATTTTATTCATTAACTTTGTTTTGGAAAACAGAGTTACTTTTTATAAAAATATTTATGTTAGGGCGCCTGGGTGGCTCAGTTGGTTAAGCGACTGCCTTCGGCTCAGGTCATGATCCTGGAGTCCCTGGATCGAGTCCCGCATCGGGCTCCCTGCTCGGCAGGGGGTCTGCTTCTCCCTCTGACCCTCCCCCCTCTCGTGTGCTTGCTCTCATTCTCTCTCAAATAAATAAATAAAATCTTAAAAAAAAAAAAAAAAAAGAAAGTAGCTTTAAAAAAAAAAAAAAAAAAAAAAAATATTTATGTTAACCTGTAATGGGTTTACTATTGTTATTTTTAAATGAATTGATAAATAATTATTTCTAAAATTTCTGTCTTAATTTCTACTGTGTATATGAGTACATATATCCCACATAAACAAAAGCTCTTTGAGATCTTTGTAATTTATGAGAGTGTAAAGAGGTCCTAGACCAAAATGTTCAAGAACTACTGCCTTAACAGTTTTAAAACTTCTTTCTTTGAGGAGTTCTAGCCTCAGAGATAGATAAATCCTGATGAGTTCTTTCTAATCCCTTTCTCCTTTTATCAGCTAGACCCCAAGTCCAACAATTGCCAAATGTCTCTAGTTTAGTTCACATAAATGTACATTCCCATCATGTTTTCCTAAGCAAAGAGTTTAGTCACTTTGGTTAGATTTTTGAACTTCTTGGCGTCAATGATTTGACTTGGCAAAGAGCCAGGTTGCTCACCTGGGTAACATATTCACAAACCAGTTCCTAGAGACATAGCTCAACTGAAGCCTCATCTGGGTTCTGCCAACTTAAGAAGGCAAGCTCATTCCTTGCATTTTTTCTTTTTGGACACCAACTATTCTACTCAATATATTTCTGATGGTGGAATATAATTTTGTTATGAAGGGCCAAAGAAAAAAATAAAGTACTAGAAATAATAGATCAAATAAAAAGAGGCTAGTATTTATTTAGCACTTGCTCTAAGCCAAATACTCTTATATATGTTACTTCATTTAATCCTCCCAACATACTATGAGGTGGGCATTGTTATTCCCATTTTACAGATAAGGAGAGCAGGAAGATAGCTGTTATATAGCAGAGGAGATATGAAATCAAGGCCTCAGTAGCTCCAAAGACAGATTAATAGAGGATCTGGGTTGTGTCAAATGCTTTATGGATGTGGGGATAAAAATATTTCAACTAAGTCTTTAGAATTGCCTCAGACCAATGATTCTCAAAGTATGGTCCCTGGACCAGCAGCATCAGCATTTCTGGGAACTTGTTAAAAACACAGATTCTCAGGCCGCAATCCAGACCTGCTGAATAAGAAGCTTTGGGGGAAGTCAAGAAACAAACACAAAGGGCAGGCCAACTAAACTAAGTCTATCAAGATACTAAAATATTACAGAAATAAACCAGAAATATTGGGTCAGTTAACTCAGCTCTACTCTTATGTGGGGAAAACGAATTGGTCTCCTATTCCATACAGCTAATAAATTCCTTATTAGGAATTTGTACATGTGGCAGGAAAATAATATTTGCCATGTATAATGTTCTGCTTCCTTCTAAGAAAGGCTGATCCTGGTAACCAGAGAAGTTTTTGCTTCCTAAGCAAAGCTCTGAACCATTTTCTAATGGCTTCTTAACTCCCTACTCCTCCCTTGATGCCCTGAAGGATGAGCAGTACAGTACAGACCTCTAAAAACTCTTATTTGGGATGGGCGCCTGGGTGGCTCAGTTGGTTAGGCCACTGCCTTCGGCTCAGGTCATGATCCTGGAGTCCTGGAGTCCCGGGATCGAGTCCCGCATCGGGCTCCCTGCTCGGCGGGGAGTCTGCTTCTCCCTCTGACCCTCCCCCCTCTCATGTGCTTTCTCACTCCCATTCTCTCTCTCTCAAATAAATAAAATCTTTAAAAAAAAAAAAAAAACTCTTATTTGGGGATTGTCTTAGATCAGATTCCCTACAAGCAGAGCCTGAGATGGGGATTCTTGCGCAAGTAACCTATTGAGAAAGCATTCTCAGGAGAAGGGGCACAGGTTAAGCAGCAGGGGAAGCTAATCAAAGATGTGTTCTTAAACAGATACTCGCTTCAGCCTGATCCCGTGGGGAGCTCTGGAGCATGAATTTTACCACAGTTGGTCCTATCTGGAGGGAAGGGAGCCAAGTCTTTGTACACCCCTCTCTCAGTCGCTCACTGACTGTGCGCTGCTGGTGGTGGGATGATGGTGAGAGTCTAATCTCCTGGGCTAAGTGCTTCCTGGTAGCTGAGGGTAGCACTTCAGGGCAGCTGTGAGCTATTAGCGGACAACCCTGATGGCAGTTGGGGGATGGGCAAACCTAGATAAAAGGGATCTGGATGGGGCACCAACAGTATCTACTACATCAATATCTTTTGGATCTCCACTCATATCCCTGGGTATCTATATCCATGCCTGCCTCGGGTATGAACTCTCCTCTCTATCCCTTGGCCTCACCGAACCATAGTCTTGGACCAGCCAGCTTTCTGTTCTCCACTCAGCCTATAAGGTAAATCAGGTCAAGTGGCTACATTTGTAGGATCCCAGATAGTTTGCAGAGGGTGTTGAATATATGCATTATCCCTTATTTTCTGCATCCTTTCACAACTTTCATATCAGTATATGGGGTTCCCAGTTGTAGGAGTCTAATCATTGTGACTGAACTGGTTTTCCGTTCTTTGATATAATCCTTTATATTTATCAAAAGACATCAATCCTACAAAATTGCTGAGTGGTGCCATGTCTCAAAATGTGCCTCAGCCACCTCCATAATCTAGATGTTGATGAGAGATTCCAAAACAGAAAGGTGCCCCCCCAAAATATATTCTGGATATACCTTCTCTGTATGTATTCTTTGTTCATTTTTATCACATGAGGAGACTTGCCTTGAAACTTTGGCATTGGACCAAGGGGCCCCTGCCATTTTAACTGAGGTTCTAGGGTCACTTGCTTGTGTAGGAGGTCTAACGTGGCATTGCCATGCTAAACTGTGCAGATATGCCTGGGGATTTTACTACAGTCAGATCATTAATGCAATATCCGTTAGAAATAGCTGACAATGGATGACTTTTCTAAAGTTCCTAGAAACTTATAATTGGGAAAAAAAACTGTTAATTCTTCCCCAACACTGAAATCATTGCAGTGTAATTACTTGATGTTTTACTTCCAATATTGCAATGAAGAAAGCCTGGAAGAAAGGAACTCTTTGGCTCATTATATTAAGTGGGTAGGATCTATTATGTACACCAGAGACCCAAGGGTCATTGTTAGAGTTTTTGTTAATCTTTGTTGATGAAGTAGATACATAGGAAGGGTGATGAGGGAGGAAAGCATAAAAAGAAGCAGGAGATTAAAAATAGCTTTGGAAAAATTATGGCTAAATCTTCCTTCCCTGTTTTCTTTATTCCTAATATTATAAATAATGTCTTCTTAAGATGAAAAGTTAAGAAAGCAAATAAATTCCTAGGGTTTTGGGTTGAGAAAGATATTAAATTGTGTGTATACAAAAAAGAAAACTTTGAGGATTTTTGAGGTAAAGTGACTACATTATGACAAGAAAATGACTAGAAGTTCTTTCTGATTGAGTGAAGAAAAGTATACCTTCCATTTGGTTCAGAGAGTAAGCAGTAAAGAGATATGTTTTTAATTGTGTTCTGGTTTTGGTAGTTTTTAAGTGCCATGCCATGGACAACCATTTAGAAAGTGGAAGGATATTCAGGATTATGTCCTTTGTATGTAGGTAATTTGAGGGAGAGCCTCCACAGTCTACATGGCACCTTCTGGTTCAATCATTCTATAGTCTCTACTGAAAGAAGATAGTCTTTTAAACTGCATTATTTCTTTCTTAAGTGGTCCCAAGAAATTATCATAGACAAGAAAGTCAACTTTGATATTTACTAGAAAAACTGATTTTTCTCTTGTAACATTATCAGCCTTTTTCCCCCCTAAAAATATGTTTTATTGCATGTTCATTGCAAATCTATTTTGTAATTCATCTCTTACTCATTTAAGTCATAGGTATCTGCTAAAGAATATCTGTCAACCAGCCTGGAAACATTCTTCTAATAGTAGAGGTGAAATGTAAAGATGGTTACTTTTTTTGTCCTCTGCAAAATACATTATTTTCTTAAAGTTCCACTTATGTTATTTAATATTTTAACTAAAAATGTTTAATTTGTATCATAATAATTCAACAATACAAATTTTGGTCACCCACAAAAGCATGTAGCTTTAATTACATTATAATAATCCAGTGATGCAAATTTTTATTATCCTGAACAAAAATTGTAGAGAAAGAATGGACTAAAATATGGCAAGCAGTAGATTTATAGACACATTCAGCATGTGGTGTGAGTAGATGCACAATAAGCACAAACATGAAAAAATTAAATCGCTCCTGCTGGAGAATTTGAACCTATGAAAATGCCACTCTGTAATGGATCTTATGTTCCCAGCTAGGTTTCCATGGTTTTGCCACTTGTTCACAAAGCCTTCTTTAGGCTTTTGACATTAAGTGTTCATTACGGAGAAGAGATGTGTGCTCTTGAAAAATCCTCCTTCCCACATATGACTGGAAAAAAAACTTGAGTTTGGGCACAGTTATAGCTGTTTTCTGAGAATTTCATCATTTGCCTCCATAAGTGAATAGTCTGTGCACCTCATTTGCCTGAAAACTGTACTACATCAGCAAGATGGATCATTTGGCTTCCTTGTTGGTCCTGGGGGATATGAACACAGCCCACAGATCTACCAGCAGCCGACTGCTGGTAAATGTTTACTTATAAATTAGCACGGGTGATAATTTATTAAGGTAATAAGCATAGATTACATTTAATGGCTTAGACATTATGCATTATGAACAGTATTTTATGTTTAGTTGAAGCAAATGTATATGATGATTAATATGATACCCAAATGTAACTCAGAAATTGTGCATTAGAGAGCTTAAACCAAGTCAAGCCATGTATCGTAGTACATCTGCACTTCAATTAAGGTCTTCAGGAAGGTTCCACAATGGCAAAGCAGTATCATTTCATTCACCTATACTGTGTATCAGGATTTGTTTCTTAGATTCTCTTCTTCCTCCATAAATTGACTCATTCAGTTACTGAAGAACATTGTTTCTCTCTTGACAAACATCACTGCATCAAAACTTTGGTTTCTGAAGCTGAGGTGAATAATCTGTCAGCAGGGACACCATGACAGCCTGGGATGACACAACAAAGAAAGAGAAAGAAAGAAAGAGAGAAAGAGAGAGAAAGAGAAAGAAAGAAAGAAAAGAAAGAAAAAGGAAGGAAGGAAGGAAGGAAGAAAGAAAGAAAGAAAGAAAGAAAGAAAGGAAGAAAGGAAGAAAGGAAGAAAGGAAGAAAGGAAGAAAGGAAGAAAGGAAGAAAGGAAGAAAGAAAGAAAGAGAAAAAAGAAAGAAAAAGAAAGAAAGAAAGAAAGAAAAAGAAAAAAAGAAAGAAAGAAAGAAAAAGAAAGAAAGAAAGAAAGAAAGAAAGAAAGAAAGAAAGAAAGAAAGAAAGAAAGAAAGAAAGAAAGAAAGAAAGAAAGAAAGAAAGAAAGAAAGAAAGAAAGAAAGAAAGAAAGAAAAATGGGTAAACATTAGCAAGAGTCTGCTTAGGGACTTAAGGAAGAGGAACTGGATTGCCACTTTGAAGGCCTGTCATTAAAGTGTGTTTTCCCAAGGAAATGACAAGGGGACAGTTCTGAATTAATATTTATTTTTATTTGGATAGAGGAAGGTCAGGAGGGATCAGGCTGACCCGAATAAATGCAGAAACCCCATGTTTACTTAGGCCTCATTCCAGGACTAGCGGGTAAGAGAGGTGAAATGAGATACCATGGTGGTAGCCATGACTGGATTTTCCAGTCATAAGTGAAACCTAGGTATTGGCTGGTTTTGGAGAAATATAATCCCTCTCATCCTGATGTTATGCTGTGGTTTGGTCACTTGTAACCTAGAGAAGTTTAGAATCAATCAGATGTAGAGTAAGAAAAGGAAATCGTTTGGGCTAGTGAACAATGTCTATCTGAATGTGGGTCCTCATGAAGGAATATTTATAACCAAGAATATAGCTTCCCATTAGGCTGTCACCCACAAATGGTAATTTGCACTGTTACTCTTCCCAACTTCCACAATAATGACAATAGTAATAATATCAGAAACCACCACAACAAATGCTTACTGAATGCTTAACTATGTACCAGACTAAGTGCCTTATCATGTGTTGGTCACTTAAGAAATATTTGCCAGGCACTATGCTAGGTGCTGCTAGGTAAGTTAGAGAGAAATGTCTATACATTATCTCATTTAATGCAATAAGCTTCTAAGGTAACTTCTGTTATTATCATTTATAGATGGGAAAATCCTGGAAACAACAGATAGTGCACAACCGGGTTTGGACTCAGGTTTCTCTGACTTCACCCTTAGGAGGTGGTTTTACTGCCTTACAGGTACTTACTGTCTCCTTTTGACCATACTGTATGTGTCCCTAGCCTATATCAGAAATGCAGGTCTTATATTTCATAGGTATTCATTGAATGTATTTATTGAACAGTTACCATGTGTTGGGCCCTGTACTGAGTGCTTTATGTGCATCATACCACTTAATATCCTTCCCTACTTGTATGAATTGTTAAGAGAGAGAAAATCCAGACGAGGAAGGTGTAGGTATTTTCCTGAGTGGTGATAGTAGGGGATAGATCTGCATCTGCCTATGCGTAAGACCTGAACCACTATGCTCAGATGACTCTTACTTCATTTAATCCTCATAAACTTACGAAGTTGTTCCTATTTTTATCTCCATTATCATATGAATAAACTGGACTTATACTTGCTCAAGATCACACAGAGAGCCAGATTTTAACTTGATTTCCAAAGTCTGTGTTCTACAACCAATATCCTATATCGCCATTGGGCTACAAAAATGTTTTGAGCACATATTTAGGGTGTCATGCACCATCCTGGGTATAACGAAGAACAATATAGACAAGATCGACGCTCTTATGAAGGAGTTTTCATTATAGTAGGGGGACAGGAAACAAGAAAATATCAAGTAGTGGTAAGTGTCATTAGAAAATAAAATAAAAAATGGAGGGGCACCTGGGTGCCTAAGTCGATTGGGCGTCTGCTTTTGGCTCAGGTCATGATCCTGGGGTCCTGGGATTGAGCCCTACGTCAGGCACCCTGCTCAGCAGGGAGTCTGCTTCTCCTTCTCTCTCTCACCTTCCCCCCCGCTCATGCTCTTGCTTGCTCGCTCTCTCTCTCTGTCTCTCTCAAATGAATAAATAAAAAATCTTTAAATAAAATAAAATTAAAAATGGGATAAAGGAGGCTGGAGAATCTCTTAAGAGTGGGTGGCCAGGGAAGGCCTTGTTAAAGGAATGGCATTTGAAATCTGAATGACAAGAAGAAACTAGGAAGGCCAAACTCAGGGATAAGAACATCTCCCAGGTAAAATATTTTAGCTTCTTTATGGGTTTCTAGGATCACATCTCAGGTTTTGTTTTATTTTTAATGGTCATTGCATGTGTCAAATTTATTTTCAAATGTTAAATCTTAGAAAGTCAACTTGGAGTAGAGTTGCCAGACTTGGTTAAATCAATAAATACGGACAGTTAAATTGGCATTTCAGAAAGCAACATTTAAAAACAAAAACCAAAAAACTATAAGTATGCTCCAAATACTGCATGGGACATACCTATACTAAAAATTTATTTGTTGTTTATCTAAAATTCCAGTTTAACTGGGTATCTTGTATTTGATCTGGCACCCCTAACTTGGAGAGAAATAAAGGACTAAAATACTGTGAATTAGATTTGCAGTGGTCTTGTATTATCTAAGGATCATCCTGATAGCAGTGCTTTGAAGTATCAGCTCTTTTGCAGGGTCCCTTTAGGTTACTTTAGGTTCACAGTAAAAATTGTAGGCAAAGGAAGAAAGGTACTTGACATTTTATGAGTCCTACAACCTTACTAATTATTGAAAAATGCAAAAGCAACCTTTGTGGGGAGGAGAGGGTATATTAAAAAAAAGGGGGGGGGATCCAAAAGCCTGTGCTCTATGGAGAGAATGATATGATTACTAGAGTGTTCTGACAAGCATAGCTAGAACTCACCCAACATGGAGGCCTTGAAAAGCTCCTCTAAGTACTGAAAGAGTATGCATTTGCTTTAAAAATGTTATATGCTTTTAGAACAAGCCCCACCCAATTTAGTTATATACTTGCCATCATTATCAGTCATTATGGACATGTTAGAACTTGAGGCTAGATTATATTTTTCCTTTCTTTTTCCATCTGATTTTAAATGAAATTGTGTGTGGAAATCATTCTCTAGACAGTAGTCCTGTCCAGTAGAACATAGTGCAATTATCAAAATGTTCTATGTCTCTGCTGTCAAATACAAATAATGTAGCCACCAGCCAAGTGTGGCTATTGAGCACTTAAAATGTGCTTAGCATGTCTGAGGAATTCACTCGTACATTGTATTATATTTTAATTAGTTTAAATTTAAATAGAAATAGCCACACGTGCCTAGTAGCTATTGCATTGGATAGGGAAGTTCTAGAGGAAAACAGATACTGTGACTTTAGAACATCCCAGATAAATCTATCTCAGTAGTGTTGAGCCTAAACGCCATTCTAAATAAGCTACGTAAGAATCATTTCTTTGCACGTAAAATAGGAATTTAGACTAGCCAATCTCTAGGGTCTCATCTCTCTTGAAAATGTCATATTCCTATGACTTGTACAGGCTGAGTGGGGACTGCATACTATTCATTTTTTTTTTTTTAATTTCCAATGCCTGGCAGAGGGACTGGCACCCAGTAGATGCATAGTGTATGATTGCCAACATGAACTTCACTCAGTGGGACCTCCAATCGTCTAGCTCAGACACATGAAGAGTGTAGCATGTGTGTCACCTCCTCTCTTCCAGAACATAGGACTTCAGTAGCCTGTTGGTGAGATTGAGGACCTATGAAAAAAATCATTTGCCATCGATATGGCTTGACCTGTTTATCTTATTTGTGAGGAAACCAGGACCAGAGAGGTAATACCTATCCAAGATGGCACAGCTGACTAGCATTAAAGACTATATAAAGTATATAAAGTAAGCAGTATGTAAAGCATGCAGCTAGGGTACAGGTCTCCTCGCTCGCAGGCAAGTATTCTTTCTATTTTAGATGCTCTACCTTCATTTCAACATGGCTATGCCTCTTGTTTGCTTTAAAGTATATTTTCCCCTAATAATAGTGGGCACTTCAGGAAGGTGGGGTATGGAGAGATGGTGGTAGGGCTTAGACAGATGGAAAATAGGTGGGCATAAAATTTCACTTTGTGTATGTACGTGTGTATGTGTATCTATCTATGTATGTATATATATATATCCTTGTAAGCATATCAACAATGTGAATACATGATGTATTTAATTTTTTAAAGTAAACTCAAGGGACGCCTGGGTGGCTCAGTGGGTTAAGCCTCTGCCTTAGGCTCGGGTCATGATCCCTAAGCTCCTCCTTAGGGACTCCTCCTCCTGGGATGGAGTCCCACATCGGGTTCCTTGCTCAGCGGGGAGTCTGCTTCTCCCTCTGCCTGCCACTCCCCCTGCTTGTGCTCTCTCTCTGTCTCTCTCTCTGACAAGTAAATAAATAAAATCTTTAAAAAATAAAGTAAATTCAATTTAAAGATGTTGTTTAATAAGCTCTTCAAAAATTCGGAAGCGCAGAGCATCTCCATAAATGATATTTTGGCAACATTTCTTTTAATTTTTCCCCACTGGATTTCTACAAAGGTCATATTTTAACAGATTTAGGTTGATTCATCTTTGTAACTTCAATCGTTTTCTGAGAAAGAATAGAGCTTGAGGAAAATTTTTTGCCATGCCTCTTCCTGAGGTATATGGTTGGAGAGCTCACATTCTCTTTTTTGTCATCTAGATCTTTGCTATTCAAAATGTGGTCTGCAGGACAGCAGCATCTGCATTATCTAGGTGCTTGTTAGAAATGCTGGCTCAGGTGCCTGGGTGGCTCAGTTGGTTAAGCGACTGCCTTCGGCTCAGGTCATGATCCTGGAGTCCCGGGATCGAGTCTCGCATCGGGCTCCCTGCTCGGCGGGGAGTCTGCTTCTCCCTCTGACCCTCCTCCCTCTCATGCTCTCTGTCTCTCATTCTCTCTCTCTCAAATAAATAAAATAAAATCTTTAAAAAAAAAAAAGAAATGCTGGCTCTTGGGCCCCATCTCGGGCCTACTGCGTCTGCACTTTAACAAGATCCCTACGTGATTCAAATAGACATTTGAAGCTTTAGAAGCACTGGTCTAGGTAACGTGGCAGTTGCCATTTTGACCAAAGCTAGTGTCCTGAGGTGGCAAGCTGGAAAGCACAGTAAAAAAAAAAAAACCCATCCCTCTTATTAGATATGACAAACTTAGGCCTGACACATAACTTTCCTTTGAAAAGGGAATCATGATTGGCTTTCAAGCAGCCATAGTGGAGCTCAAACCCCTGCTGGTCACTGTATTAGGTCAACAATGAAGATGAGGTCAGTGATAATAATTGTAATAATATTTACAGTATATTAGATACTATACTAAATGCTCTACATGTATTATTTTAATGCTCACAATAACCCTATCTATTCCCATTTAGATAAAATGTATTCCCATTAGATAAAAAAAAATTACCAGAGTCTTTTCCAGCTCGGTTTTCTGTACTCCAGAAGTTGCAAGCTATAAACTACATTTCCCAGAAGCTAAGGTGCAGACATGCCACTCAAATGTATCTACTCAAGTCTTAGAGCCATAAGTGAACAATGTGCAGTGGAAGCCATCCTCTGGGAGATTAGATCTTCTGGTCTATTTGCAGGTGGGGGTATCTGGTTCTGCTGGGGCAGCGATAATGGGGTATCTGGCATTTAGTTTCAAGGGTCTTAGGTACCAGGCTTTGGGTAGCTGTGTCAGTGGTGTTTGGCTATTAAAGAACCACAATGTTGTTGGGTGATTGTCCTGCCTGTATTTCTGAATATGTGGTATCCAAGAATGATTTGCTGCACCTTCTTTCCCCAGAGATTCTGGGCACTGCTAAATGTCTTTTAATAAATTCCTATATTATCTTTTTATCTTTCCTAGAGTGGACTCTGTTTTCCAGTAAGACTCCAGCTGGTACAAAAATTGAGATCAGTTAAATCAACTAAAAATGAAAAAAAACAGTGGTACTAAATTATGGCACTTGAATATCAGTTTTCTAGAGAAGAAGGTGATGTTTGGAATATTGTAACACACAGATGTGAGGTTAGTATTTCCTAGAATAGCAGTGATGAAGGTGAAACTTATGTTAAGGGAACCAGTATTTTTTAAGATTTGTTGCAGTTCTCAAAATGTTCAATACCTAAAACAGATATATCTATAAGCCAAAGTCAAGTAGAGAACCAAAACAATGAGCTAGGTAAGTCATGAAAGGAAGAGAAGAGAAAGGAAATACAATTTCTTTGAACACTCATTTTGTGCCAGGCACTGAATTAGGGACCTCTATAAACATTAACAAGGGGATTGTAAAATAAGAATTATACAACATAATGGTTGGCAGGCAATGGTGGCTGGCGTTCAGGCTGATCAAGAGCAGTCAGAATTTTTATTAAAATAGATATATTTGGAGGCATCTGGGTGGCTCATTTGGTTGAGTACCCGACTCTTGATTTCAGCTCAGGTCATGATCTCAGGGTCATGAGATTGAGCCCAGTGTGAAGCCTGCTTGGGATTCTCTCTCTCCCTCTCCCTCTGCCCCTCCCCCCTGCCCTCTCTCTCTCTAAAAAATAATAATAGAATAGATATATTTGGAAGGAGATCAATTTTACACCATTAAAAACATAATATAAATACTAATAAGCAGTAATAATCTATTATGAACTTTCTGGGAAAAAAATAGATGCCATATGAGCAAGTCATGTAGGTGGATAATCTCAGTTGCTTATTATTTACCAAAAGGAATGAATGACTAAGTTAGGGTCACACAGAGAACCCCTTCTTAGTCTCCATTCCCCATTTCTTGCTTACCATGATTGTCCACTTCCTGTTTTCAGCCTCTGGGAATACTAGTGATCGTGGAGAATAAAACACTTCATCATCCACTTCTTCTGGCTTTCTGGGCAAGCAGTGTAAAAATGTCCAGTCAGAGGCAGCAACTTTAGCAGTCTAAAGAAGAGATGGGATGAGACTGTGTTTTGACTAGCATATGCGGCTATCACATTTGTCTTCTTCAATATTTAAACACACATATGGTGTGGAGTCAGAGACCAAATGCAAAGGGAGAGATGAGGCAGAGTGGTGGTTTAAATTCAAGGCACCAAAGGGAAACGTAAATGGTACTTTCAGCTTATGGAATTTTATAGCCATTTTTTTGATATGGGAGATCATTACTCCAAATTAAACCACTAACTCAGTTTTCTGGTTCTCTGTCTAGAGGGATTGTGGACATTTCAGTAAAGAGTTCTATCGGTACAATTTGTGGCTGATAGCAAAAGTCACCCATTATGCCCCAATATATTTTAAAAGTCACTTTTATGGGATTATGTTATATTTTGAGCTTATCTCCAAGTTACGGTTTTTAGCGGTTGAAGCACATTTCATCACTAATTAAGACACTTTTGAGAGAGCTTGTTTGGAGGTTCTAGCAGGGGAGCGCAGCTACTCGTATACCCTTGACCGAAGAACGGTCCTCCTCTATCGGGGAAGGTCGTCCTCTTCGACCGAGCGCGCAGCTTCGGGAGGGACGCACATGGAGCGGTGAGGGAGGAAGGGGACACCCGCCCGGCCAGCCAGATCAGCCGAATCAACCCTGGCGATCAATGGGGTGACAGATGTCGCAGCCAGATCGCCCTCACATCCTAAAACACTTTTGAAAGAGAGCGTGCTGAGATAGGAGTGCACTAAACAGGCTTATGGGCACTATGCACCAGAGGTTTCCTTCTTAATACAAAAGTCCTAACAGTTTCAATTTTCTCCAGCCATTAGTCCTAAAAGCTACATTTTCCCATCCATTTCCATTGTTCACTTACAGATTCAAAACTGCATTCCCTCATAATTTCTTACCTCAAAATTACTGCCTTTGTACTAAAATTTTGTTTTACTTCCCATACTTGTTCGAGGTTCAGAACCTTCTGAATTTCTAAAATAGTGGCAAAGTAACATGGGAAAGGAGTAACATTTGAGTCAGTCATACATCAGTGAGATGAATGTCCTTCAAGCCTGCAGTCCCAGCACCACAAAAATGCGTAAGGTTGGTCAAGGCAAGTACGAGATAAACCACAAGGAGTTTAGAATTTCTCCATGAACGTATTTGCCACATATATGACAAGGGATTAGCCATAATGTATAAATAATTCCTATAGCCAATAATGGCAAAAAAATAGAAAATGGGCAAAGGATAGGATAGCATTTTATAGAAAAACAGATGGAAATGGCCAGTAAACATGAAAAGATGTTTAGCTTCACTAGTAATCAAGGAAATGCAAAATTTAAAAAACATGAGATACAGATTTTAAAAATTAAAAATGTAAATAACTAAGAATAGAAAGAGTGTGGAGAGAGTATAAATTATCAATTCTTTTTTGGATGGCTATTTAGCAGCATTTATCTATTTTAAAAAGTATATACCACTTTACCCAGAAATTATTTTTCCAGAGATCGATTCTCCAATAATACTTGCACAAAGAAATATGTATAAGGATCTTCATTGCAGCATTGTTTGTAATTGGGATCATTGGAAATAGCCTAATTTATCAACATAAAACATAGTCCACCCAGACTTTGGAATTCTATGCAACCATTTAAAGGAATGAAAAGTATCTAAATAAATGGACAAGAAAATCTAAGATTTGTTAAGTGGGAAATGTAAGTCAGAATAATATGTCTAATACGCCATTTATGAGCAATCAATAGTTGTGTGTGTGTATGTGAAGGCATATATAAATACACGGAAAAGGTCTGCAAAGAGATGCATCAAACTGTTGAACAGTGGCTCCCTCTGGGAATAGTCACTGTTGAAGGGATGAAGGAAAGACACTTTCACTTTTTATTTTCCAAACTTCATTCTATTGACATGGATAAATAAGGAGCTTGTATTTATATATTGCTTTATCAATGAAATATGTACTGTGTTTGCTCAATCCCTGTCTCCACCAAAACAGACTAGCTGCTCTGCTGACAAAATCCCAATGTACACTTGCCCGGTAGAGTATTCCTCCAGAAGAGCCGTTCTCCAAGTGTGACCCGGGAGCAGCGGCATTGCAGTTCTTGGGTCCCACCTCTGACCTATTAATTCTGAACCCCAGGGGAGTGGGGTCCTGCCGGCTGTGTATTAACAGCTCCAGGCAATCCGGAGGCAGGCTCAACACTGAGAAGCATTGCTTCGGATCTTAATGAAAGGCATCAGAGTAGATGGGATTCCCCTGGGAATGAATGCCCTGGAAGCAGTAAGCAAAGCTAAACCGGACTTGAGAGGCCTTAACAACTAGAGGCAAGGACTAGCCTGAAGAACATAATTATGCAGCTTTTCTTAGAGGAGAAATCAGAAGAAACTGCATGCAACAAAAGTAGCAGTGTCTCTAGATACACACTGAGCAAAGCACTCCAATGCCTCCATGCCTCCATTGCCGTGAGAGGGAAAAGCTTGCTTCTCCCTTCCGCCCGGGTTGCAAATTCCTGCATCCAGGACAAAAGTGTCTTTCCAAAGGACATAGCTAAGCTTCAGGAGGAGAGAAATCCCTGGAGGATGCAGTCAGCGAGTCCTTTATAGGGAAGGAAAGGACAGTCGGCTGTCCCCAAAGTGAACGAGTGATTAGATGGTTCGGCCCTGTATGAATGGAATTAATGAACCTTCAGAGAGGCATCAATTTGTACCTTCATTGTAACCTGGTAACCTTGGAAAGCCTGGAGCCGCTTTTTCTTCTCCTCTTCTTGTCCCATGCTTATCCACGTGTCTGTAATTAATACATTGCCTCCACGAGCCGCTTCCAGTGGATCATTCGTCAGCGACAGCTTGGTGCCATTCTAGCATACACAAGCATGCCAGTTAAACCACTTCATGGGACAGAGAAAGGCCATTCTAAGTTTACATAAAAGGAGCATACCTCCTTGGCATATTGCTCTGCCAACTTGGTCACACTGGGATCTGGCTCATAACCCTGCAGAGGGAAGAATTCAACTATTATTTAGGCAATTGTTTTGTATTAGGCTGTCTTATATATGCATTATTTTACTCTCAACAGTATTCTCGCTGTCCTTCAAGTTGTAGCTCAGCCGCCTTCAGTGGAATGCGATATTTACATCTAGAATTCCAAACCTTCGGGGCGCCTGGGTGGCTCAGTTGGTTAAGCGACTGCCTTCGGCTCAGGTCATGATCCTGGAGTCCCGGGATCGAGTCCCGCATCGGGCTCCCTGCTCGGCAGGGAGTCTGCTTCTCCCTCTGACCCTCCTCCCTCTCGTGCTCTCTGTCTCTCATTCTCTCTCTCTCAAATAAATAAATAAAATCTTTAAAAAAAAATAGAATTCCAAACCTTCATAGTGCTTTTGGGAATTTAACAAGGTAACCAGCTGCCCCATCTTTCTCTTATTATCCTTGACCTCTTTAATTAGCAAGATAAACAGGGCGTGGTGCTTCCCAGCTCTCCGTAGTGCCTCTTCTCCTTCCTCTAATAGCGTAAAAGGATTATATACATAATTCTACAAGCTGATGCAGTTTTGTCTCCCATCTTTCCACGAGCTGTGTGGGTTTTTTGTTTTGTTTTGTTCTTGTTTTTAAGATTTATTTTTTTTTGTAACTTGTTTCTCTTTTTATTTCTTTATTAACATATAATGTATTGTTTGTTTCAGGGGTACCCGTCTGTGATTCATCAGTCTTACACAATTCACCGCGCTCACCGTAGCACATACCCTCCCCAATGTCCATCACCCCGCCACCCCATCCCTCCCACCCCCCTCCACTCCAGCAACCCTCAGATTGTTTCCTGAAATTAAGAGTCTGTTAGTTTTTTTTAATGCTTTTTTGTCTGGAATGCTTTGCTCCACTCACTTCCTGTGGATAATGCTTTCAGGTCTCAGCTCAAATGTCTCCCTCTCAGAAGAACCTTCCCCAAGCACCGCAGCTAAATACTCACAGGCCACGTAGCAGCATTCTGAGTGCAGGGCGTGCGCTTTGAAATGGCATTTACACCACAAGTACGCTGGTTTTGCTCAAATATATTTGTTTGGGATGGTTTGGTGAGAGCAGGGACGGCGCTTGGGTGAAGCACGCCAGGTGCCTGGGACACAGGGTCTACGCAGGCCTGTCAGAGTCTTTGTGAGCACAAATGGCACACCAGAGGAGCCTTGCTTGCTTGGCCTAGTCTCAACTCTAGGTGAGGGGACGTTAGGGGGCACTAAAGCCCCCCCCGAGCTATTCCAGACCCCCCGGTAGCCCTGCTGCCTCCCTCCCCACCCTCCAACCTGTTCTGTACACAGCAGCAAGGATTGTTTTCTCTGAAGCCTGCAGTGTTTACCACTTGCTCCTTAAGTCAAGGCTGATTAAGAGTCTCTCCCCCTGCCCGCATTCCGGGTTTCTGTCTCTTTTAATTCTTCTCAACATCTTGCTGCAGGAAAGCCCATCTTATTGTTACCGCCGTACATGTCTTGCCCTTTTCTGCCATCTCAGCCTTTCACCCTTGAACACCTCCCCCTGTCGCCTCCTGGGTGTCTTTGTTGGAACATGTCAGCTCTTCTTTTGTCAAACCTCTAGCCCAGCCTCACCTCCGGACCCTCCATATGGAGGTCTTGTCAGTCTAAACACCACAGTTATTCTCACCTTCCTCTATCCTTCTCATTTTCTTGAATTCTTAGCACTTATTATAAGTCGGGTTTTATAAATGCTCAGTGGAGCATTGTGGTGCACCCTGTGATATGCCATTCATATCCCCCCCTTCGTGAATAAAGGACTCATTCCCCCAGCTGCTAGGCGTGCTGCCAGAAGATGGCTTTCAGCCGCCAACCCTCTTTGGGCACTGCCTCAGCTGCAGAGAGCTGACTCATCCAAGGTCGCATACCCTTCTGGGGCGGCCTATATTCAATGACTGATTGACAGGAGGGGATGGAAACTTGACTCCCTCCTCCCAACTTGGAACAGCTCTAAATGGCCATCTCGGATCTAGAAGTCTCTGTAAGGTCAGATGAGGCTGTTGTTGGGCCTGCACTACGGCTCGGCTTCTTCCTCTGCCCACTCCTGCTTCCTTCCCTTCCCTTCCACAGATGTTGATCTCAAGGGCATGCCCTAATAAACATCCTGCACACCAAACTCTGTCTCAGAGTCTACTCCCAGGAACCTCATCCTGCCACAAGTATGTTCAGGTTCATTCATTTGAAACTGTGTCTATTTGCACACGAGTGTCTACTGTAGTTCCTTCTCTCATTACAAAATTCTCGAAAGAAACTACGCATGATGCTGCTGATGATGGCTGCAGACATTTTAGCACCCTCAAATAGCCATAAGTTCTGGAGCTTTTTTTATCAGGATTTGGAGAAGGTAATTAATAAAGCTTTGCTAATTTAGTAACTAATGTTGTGACCATTCATACTAGTAAACATAAATGAAGAGACTTGGCCATTACCCCATGTGCCTCCTGCCCTGAAAATTTAGCCTTCCCTCTAGAGAGCAGGTTTTATACTCCCTACATATAATCATTCTTACAGAAGGAATCAATAAGTACTTCGAGAACCAACAGAGAGGTTTGGAAATTAGAAAATCACCCAACCTTGCATGCACTGGGCCATGACTGAGAATACAAAGAGAAATTCTTTACTCACAGCTCAGCTTTCAATACTAAATCACTCATTGGCTTTTACATAAATCTTAAAACCAGAGGAAGAAGGTGATTAACAAACCCAGTTCAGTCTAAATATTCACTTAGAACAATGTTAAAATCATTACCATCAATAGTTTATGGAGCAATTTTACAGTCAAGGACAAAATTATGTTTTCTTGAACATGTAAGTTATTCTCAGTTGAAGAATGGGGAAATAGATTAATTATGGCCTTGGAAACTTCAGGGCTTCTTAAATTTACAATAAATCTCCTGGCTTTATCTTGAAAGAAAATAGGCCTACTTACAAATTAACTGAACAACTTCTGCACTATCGGACTTTCCCAAAGACTTTTTAAAACTCTAACTCCCACTAAGATTTAACAAAGTTTCAGCGCTCTCTGTCATTTAAATGAGTTTCTGCATAAGAACAATACTGAACCTACTTTGTAAGACTCAAATTTTTCCCTTTGGTGTTAATAAAACATCTCTGACACACCATAAAATGTTTAAATCCTATATTTTTCCAACAGAATAAAGCCTCTCCAGAAACATCTTCTAGCAGGGAACAGTTATTGTTAAGATATGTTTTCACTGTAAAAACCAAATGCAATCATAGTTTGCATTAATACAGAGCCTTTCTTCAAACTGGATTTGTAGTGACAGTGTGCTAACTTTTCCCATAAAGTGAAGAAGAACCGCCTTAAGCACATGTCCGATCTGACCCTTCATTTTCGTTTATGCTGAATGAAAGAGAATTATCTGCTGTAAGAGTTCTCTCTCTGAGTCCCCACAGTTTACTATAATAGGGTGGTTTCTAATACATGCTATGGTCCGTGCCCGCCATTCCTTCTGTGGCAAGTGTATTAGGTAGAATAGTATCCTCCCAAAATTCATTCTCAGCCAGAACCTCAGAATGTAACCTTACTTAGGAGGGTCTTCACAGATGTAATGAGTTAAGATGAGGTCGTGCTGGATTAGGGTGGGCCTACCTTAACGTGACTGATGTCCTCCTGTGAAGAGGGGCATTTGTATAAAGAAACACAGGCATAAAGACAAGAACATGGAGGCAGAGACTGGAGGGATGCAGCCACAAGCCCAGGAAGCCTGGGGCTGTGGAGACAGACAAGGAGGATCCTCTCCTAGAGGCTTCAGAGAGAGCGTGGGCCCTGCCACCATCTTGATTTTGGACTTCTAGTCTCCAGAACTGTAAACAATAAATTTCTGTTGTTCAAAGCCACCCAGTTTGTGGTACTTTGTTATGGCAGCCCTTGCAAACTAAGGCAGCAGGGCGCATTGACTCAAACTGGTTCAGCAAGAGCACTAGGGAAAAGCATTTTGTTTCCTTTTTCTTTGGCAGGAGGCAGCGGACAAGGCTGGTGCTCTACCCAGGTGCCATCCTAGGACTCCTTTTTATAGCTTTTGCTCCCTCTCCCCATTTCAATGGGCTTTTAACAGCACTTGCAGCTCTTCCTCAGAAGACAGCCCTCTGGCTACCCAGCTGCTTTTCCTACCAAAAGTGCCAGGGGATTTACCACCCTACCTCCCCTTGCTGCCCTTGACCAACGACTGGTTCAAAGGATGAAAGCCCACCTTCGGGGGCACATGGGTGGCTCAGTTGGTTAAGCATCTGATTCTTGATTTTGGCTCAGGTCATGATCTCAGGATCCTGAGATCGAGCCCTGCATCGGCTCTCAGTGTGGAGCCCGCTTGGGATTCTCTCTCAGCCCCTCCCCTCGCTCGTGTTCTCTCTCTCTCTATCTTTTTAATAAATAAAATCTTTAAGGAAAAAAAAAAGAAAGCCCACCCTCCTTGCCTCAGGTTGAGACAACTCTGGGGCATAAGTTACGCTCCTGAGCTCACCTGTGGGATCAGGCTGAAGCTTCCTTCTGTAGGATGGTGCCTGACATGGCACAAGCGTGACCAAATCATGCCGGTTTGCCTGGGAGTCTCCCGGTTTTAGCACCGATTGTCCGATGTTCCTGGAAATCCCTCCATCTTAGGCAAACCGGGATGGTTGGTGACTATAAATGGCCCTCTTAGATTCTTCCCTTTCTCTGTTCTTCTCCTATTCTCCTACAGGTCTTCCTTAGGAGTACTTCTTTAATAAATCACCTGTACACAAATCCTCATCAAATCCCTTGTGGGGAACCCAGCCCAAGACACTGATGCAGGAAGGGGTGAAGAGCACATGAAAGCCTTGGGGATTTGGGTATTTCCTACGAGAGAAATTCAGCCATTAACCCACATTGTGTAATTCATGTTCCTGGTGATTGGCAAATAAACATCTCAAACTCAAGAAGCAGAAGCAGGGAGTGATTTTTAGGCCTGACATATTTGCCTCTGGATGTCTTAGCTTATCAGAGTGAACCCTCGCACTCACTACTGAGATAACAGCAAACACATGCCTTGCCAGAAACACACTAGTGCACAGTAATTGTGAATAGTCATCTCTTAATGAGAGGGCCAATCCTATCTTTCACTTTGTTTCTGAAGCAGTCTCTGTTTAGGGGAGTTTTCCCTTTAAAGACTCCTGATTGGATATTAGTAGCCAATCAGAAACATAATGGGGAAATAGTAGTGATGGGGTATTTTTTTTTATTTTATTTTATTATGTTATGTTAATCACCATACATTACACCATTAGTTTTTGATGTAGTGTTCCATGATTCATTGTTTGCGTATAACACCCAGTGCTCCATGCAGTACATGCCGTCTTTAATACCCATCACCAGGCTAACCCATCCCCTCACCCCCCTCCCCTCTAAAACCCTCCGTTTGTTTCTCAGAGTCCATAGTCTCTCATGGTTCGTCTTCCCCTCCGATTTCCCCCCTTCATTTTTCCCTTCCTTCTAATGTCCTCCATGCTATTTCTTATGTTCCACAAATAAGAGAAACCCTATGATAATTGACTTTCTCTGCTTGACTTATTAGTGATGGGATATTTAAAAGGTTCTGTGGGGATCCTTCAGGACTGGTTTGTGTATGAGTCTCTTGGAGGGTTAATTTTTATCCTCTAAAATGCCTATTTATTTTGTATGAGACTGGGGGCATCTTAACATAGGGCTTCTCTTTGGGGCATCTATATTTTTTATTTGGGTGTATTTATTTATGGATGGATGTCATTTTGCAGGTAAAATACAAACATGTTAAGAAATTCAAACCATATAAAAGGATATACCATGAAAATAAATTCTCCCTCCTATCTCTGTCCTTGAACCTCCCAGTTCCCCTTCTCAGAGGCAGCAACCATTACCAGCTTCTTACATATCAAAAGGGTTACTTTGGACCCATGAAAGAAGTCATGCCTCCTGTACATGCTGTGTGAGATTAGCAGCAGAGCAGGCAGTATATAGGGGGCATTTTCACAGCCGCCTGGGACTCAGATTTAAAAAGCCGCAAGGCTGCTGGAGTTGAGTTTGAAATATAAGCTGGCGTAGATGCCATCACTGTGACCTTCACACTAGATTGACATTTTTCTACTAAATTGCAGTATTAGAAAAATGACAACATTCTCTCCATGCCTTGGGAACTCTATGCTGTCTGGATTTCATTGCTTTCTTCAGCCTTTTAGGAAAGCCTCACAGATGAGAGGCATCAGCCAAGAAGGGAAATGGGCACTCCAGAGGAAATGGGCACTCCAGAGGGAAATGGGCACTCCAGAGGGAAATGGGCACTCCAGAGGCCACATAGCTGTAACAGTAAGGCTGGTAACGTAGCTTTAAGTTTGTGGGCTCACCTATGCTTTCCTTGAATGGAAGAGAGGTTGTTTTCATTTAAGAAGGGCTTAGTGTCAAGGCAGAAAGTCCCCCTACCTTTGGAGTAGCCGCCTGAAGGTGCATCCCAAATTTTGCAGCACTCATCATGATGGAATGCAGAATGTTGTTCCCATCCCCAATCCAGCTGAGGGTGAGGCCTTTCAGAGAGCCATAGTGTTCCTAAGAGGCAAGGGAGGAGAAGATTACATCCAGGAGGAAATCCATTTACGTGAAAAAATTATTAAGGCTAAAATAAAGGAAACAGTCTTCACCTCATTTTTAAAGCTTTGTTGGAATGAATAAACTACTAGGTTTTGGTTGTTTTTTTTTTTTTTTTTTTTTTGCATTATACAGAGCAATTCAATACATGAATGTACAATCACAACAAATAGCAAAACGACTTAATATCTTAAACCATGACATCATATGAACTCATACAGAGACTCATAGTTTCATACATTTCAAATCTGAATCTTTGTTGTATTCATTCATTCATTCATTCATTCAACAAATTGAGTGCCATCAATGTCCAGAAGCTTTCCTTGGCCCTGGAGAGAGAACAATGAAGAAAGGAGACCAAAAAAAAAAAAAAAAAAAAAAAAAAATCACTACCTTTATGGAGCTTACATTCATTGGTATTAGAATGGGGAAACAATGCATCTGGAACAGTGGAACATGGTGTCTATGTTTGCATTTATATAAAGTTAAAAAACATGCCCATTAATATTCTTGATTGTTTACAGATATAGACATGTGTAGTTAAAGTATAAACACATGCCTGGGAATTATAAATACAAACATCAAGATAATAATTTCTTTGTGGGGTGAAAGGAAATGGAATCAGGGAGAGTTACACAGTAGGCTTCAACTCTGTTGAAAACAAAAAATTCTAAAGTAAGATTTGACAAAACTATGTAATGGGCACAAGGGTGTTTGTTTTATTTTTCTTGAACTGTCTGTAAGTTTCACAGATTTTATATATTCATAAAGATAATATTTTAAAAAGAGAAAGGCTAAGCAACTTTGAGATACAGAACTACTACATGGCGAACCTTGGATTTAAATCCAAGTCCATCTGATTTAGATGCCATGTTCTTAATAAGCTGCTATTTATTCATTCAACTACTGTTTTGAGTATCTTCTGTATGAAGGCATTGCACCAGGTCCTACAGGGGACAATATGGTGAATAGAAAATTTTATTGTCCTTCAACAAATTTGTAATCTAGTAATGATGAAGCCCCAGGGGGAAGCATTAAATTATCTGGCATATATGTAAAGCCACAGCTGCAAGCAGCCACTTGGTATCTGACATTGCTGTATCATCTTCTCTGCATGAATCTTATCCTCATCACCAAAGAGTTCCATTTCATTTTGAGTTTAACTTCACATTAATATGTGTGTGGCTTATTCAAATAAGGAGAAATATGGACCTATCCAGTTTTCCCTGTCTTCCCAGGACAGTCCATCGACACAGAAACCATGGTTGTCAGGATTCCCGGTGGCAAGACCATGTAGATTGGCTGTGGCAAACCAAATGAGATGAATATTTTCAAAGTTATTCAAGTTTCTAATTTAAGGGGACAAGGCTAAATTTGCCTCAATTCTATAAATTCTACATGTTCTTAACTCCAGTCTGAAACAATTAGTTTATTAAAATGATAGAAAACGACCTCCTTCTCAGAAAGTGATCTGGTAGTTGACCATTTTGAATATTCAAAGCATACTCTGCCAGTCTTCACTCCCAAGCCACAGAGCCGGATACATGTAGGGTTAAAAAAGCTTTTCGATTCTGTATGCACCAGCATTCTCTATTCATCCATTGTGTTAAATATGTCACCAAAAACCAAAATGATTGAGAGAAGAGGGGTTTGTGGGGGTTGCTAAAAGAGGTTGGGAATTGAGTTGTGAACAGAAGGATCTGATGATCTGTTTTTTAAATGCCTCGTCTCCCTTGGAGATCTAGTATTCACACATACACTATAATTCTTTGCCAAAATGATATTTGAAAACAAAACAACAATACCATGATTTAAATCATTCCATTTAGAGCTAGTCGGGAACAACTTATTTATTTTGCGCTTGTGTAAGGCAAACAAATAAGCCAACCTGGAGCGTGAGGTAATCAGCCAGGATCTGGATAGGATGGTACAAATCTGACAGCCCATTGATGATTGGGATGGATGCTTCTTTAGCCAGGGTATCTAGATCTGATTGTTTGTACACTCGAGCCAGCACTGCATCTGTCATGCTAGACAACACACTGCAGGAAACCAAGAAAAGATCATCTAAGTTAATCATGCTTAATAATTCCTTCTTTAAACATGATCTCAAACAGGAATAAACGCTAATAAATTAGAATTTTTGCTAAGTTACAGCTACCTATCAACATGACAGATTTAAAAGCTAATATTATGGCGCCTGGGTGGCTCAGTTGGTTAAGCATCTGCATTTGGCTCAGGTCATGATCCCAGGGTCCTGGGATCCAGCCCCACCTCAGGGCTCCCTGCTCAGCAGGGAGTCTGCTTCTCCCTTTCCCTCTGCGCCTCCCCCCATTTGTACTCTCTCTCTCTCATACTATCTCTCTCTCTCAAATAAATAAAATCTAAAAAAAATAAAAGCAATATTGAACATGTAGTCATTATAGAAGCCAGATGTTGTTCCACTGATCTCATCCAGTGACCACTGATTTTACTACTTTTTACAGAGATAAGAAAACAATTGTGGGCCTAACAAGTTATGATGATGAATTATAATTGATAAGGGGCAGTTGGTAAACTTAAAAGGGACAACACGAAAAACAAGGTATACAGAGAAACATTAATGACCTGGCATGTGGCTCATTTTCTTTGACATCATCCCCCAGACGTGTATACATTGTAAAATTGAAAGTACCTGTGTGGCAGTCATGAAGGTACACACGCAGATCGCCGCACCAGAGGAAACCTTCTGGGAGGAGTCCCATTAGCTGACAACCCCCAGCTGCTGTACTTTTGGGATACGCTGTAGGGTTTCCACTAAGGACACACTCCCCCCACGCTATTCCCAGCCAATGGCTGAGCCCAGTGGGGGCACCAGAGCAGAGCGATTGTGCCTGACATGGGCCTGCTCCAATGCGCAGTCTTTGCTCTGAGGTCCCCCATTGGCCTGGCCAAGGCTTTCTCAGAGCTGTGCTGCAGTCTCAGGTTCTTTTTACCCTCCTCCTTCTTCCCTCTTTTCCTTTCACTGGGGTAGGACCTGCATTGTGGTCTGAAGGCTTTCCCTGCCTACTCCTGCTTCCTCCCTCCTTCATCCTTCACAGTTCTTTCACCCTATAAATCTCTTGCATCTCTAATTCCATTTTGGAGTCTACTTCTCCATGAACTTGAATGACACAGACCACAATAAACTCCTGTAGGGGCCAAGCCTGAGAAGGCATTCAGCCTTTGTCCCTGCACCCTGTATAGCTATCAGCATCTCTGAAAAAGACAGAAAGTATTCAACATCGTAAACACAAAAATCCACCAAAAAAGCAACACGAACCAAATCATGGCTATGAATTCAAACAACACACAGAAAGATGGATGTAATTATTCTCATTTTATGGCTGAAGGACCTGAGACACAAAGAGGTTAAGAAACTTGCCCCAGATCACACAGCTAATTAAGTTGGAGGAGTTCATACTCAACCCAAAGTCAATTGAAGTCAAAAGTCCATGTTCTTGGGGCATCTGGGTGGTTCATTCGGTTGTGTCTGACTCTTGGTTTCCACTCAGGTCATGATCTCAGGGTTGTGAGATTGAGCCCCACATCAGGCTCTGTGCTCCGTGGGGAGTCTGCTTGAAGATTTTCCCTCTGCCCTTCTCCCCACTCGTTCTCTCTCTCTCTCAAATAAATAAATCAATCTTAAAAAAGTCCATGTTCTTACCATTACAACACATTGCCTCAACTTTGCACATGAAAATATCTGGAAGGAAAGCCTGGGATCCAGATTTTAACTTTTTTCCATGCATCAGAGTGATGGTGGTTCCTCAGCTAAATCTTCAACCTTGCAAGACTAGCAAAGATAGCCTTTGGTTTAAAATCTTGGTTTCTTATTATTTAAAGGGAAACCTCTACAACAGAGGCTTCTAACCATTCCAGTTTTAAAGAATTCTTTTTAATGACAAAAAAATTTGGAAAGCCTCTCATGATAGTAGTTAGAGTAAATATAGTCATGATTATAAACCATCTGGTTTGGGGTTCTTATTCTGGTTCTGTAACTTATTAGCTGTGTGACCTTGGAAATGTTATTTAATTTCTCTGTGACTGAGTTTCTTCATCTTTAAAATCATAATAATAATATCTATTCTATTGAGTTGTGAGGATTTCATGAGATTACCTATTTAAAGTGTATAGTACAATGCCTTATTCATAGTAAGAGATCAAAAAAGTAGTAGATATTATTACCATGTCAAAAGAAGCTGTAACTCAACACCAAAAAAAAAAAAAAACCCCACAAATAATCCAATTAAAAAATGGGCAGAGGACCTGAATAGACATTTTTCCAAAGAAGATATACAGATGACCAACAGACATGAAAAGATGCTCAACATCACTAATCATCAGGGAAATGGAAATCAAACCACAATGAGGTATCACTTTACACCTGTCCAAATGGCTAAAATCAAAAACAAAAACATGAGAAATAATAAGTTTTCGCAAGGATATGGAAAAAATAGAATGCTGATGCACAGTTGGTAGGAATGCAAATTGTGCAACTACTGTGGAAAAGAGAATGAACATGCCTCAAAAAGTTAAAAATAGAATTACTGTATGATCCAGTAATTCTACTATTGGGTACTCACCCAAAGAAAGTAAAAACATTAATTCAAAAAGATATATGCACCCCTCTGTTTACTGCAGCATTACTTACAATAGCCAAATTATGGAAGTAACACAAGTGTCTACCAATAGATGAATGGGTAAAGAAGATGTGATATAGAGATATATATCCACACACAATGGAATATTACTCAGCCATAAAAGGAATGAAATCTTGCCATTTGCAACAACATGGATGGATCTAGAGGTTATAATGCTAAGTGAAATAAGTCAGAGAAAGACAAATACCATATGATTTCACTCATATGTGGAATTTAAGAAACAAAACAAATGAACAAAAAATAAAAGAGACAAACAATAAAACACTCTTAACTACAGAGAACAAACTACCAGAAGGGGAGGTTGGTAGAGGGATGGGTGAAATAGATAAAGGGGATAAAAGTACACTTATCTTGGTGAGCACTGAGAAATGTATAGAATTGTTGAACCATTATATTGTACACCTGAAAGTAATATAACACTGTATGTTAATTATACTTGAATAAAAAGATTAAAAAAAATTTTTTAATGCATAAAAACTAAAGCTAGTATATATTCAGTAAGGTCCTCATAAATTTGTATTTTAATTATCATATATTTGGAAAATGAGTCCCTCTTATATATCTGAGATATATTATTTACCTCAATCGGTAGAAAACTGTTGGTGCTTATAAAATTCAAGAACCACTAAAAAAGCTCCTTGCCCCCAGGGATTAGAGAATCAAATACTGAAAACCATTTCCCTGTAACAATATCAGAGATTAGAGAATCAAATACTGAAAACCATTTCCCTGTAACAATATTCACATTTTTTTCAAATTTTCATAGATTTCTCATACCCATAGTTCCCAGATTTTCAGATTTCATGGATCAGCACAATTTCCAAAAACACATGGAGATCATAAGATTGCCAACTTTTTGCTTAGCTAATTAGGGGCATAAAACAACAAGCAATTATACACAGATAATATGTTAATATCTTCATTTAATAAAAGAAAGGGCATTTTATTTTATTTTATTTTATTTTAAAAAGGTTTTATTTTATTTGTTTGACATTGAGAGAGAGAGAGTGAGTGAGTGCACAAGCAGGGGGAGCAGCAGAGGGAGAGGGAGAAGCAGGCTCCCCACCGAGCAGGGAGCCCGATGCGGGGCTCGATCCCAGGACCCTGGGATCATGACCTGAGCTGAAGGCAGACGCTTAACCGACTGAGCCACCCAGGCACCCCAAGAAAGGGCATTTTAATGCCAAAAGAGGTATGAATGACCTAATCTGAAAGAATGATCCTTGAAATTGAATTAAATTAGGTTATGAAATTCACTATATTATCTTTATGTTTCTTATTTGACCACTTCTGATGAAAACTTCCAGGGTGCCTGCGTGGTTCAGTCGTTAAGTGTCTGCCTTGGGTTCAGGTCATGATCCCAGGGTCCTGGGATCGAAGCCCACATCGGGCTCCATGCTCTGCGGGAAGCCTGCTTCTCCCTCTTCCACTCCCCCTGCTTGTGCTCCCTCTCTCGCTGTCTCTCTCTCTCTGTCAAATAAATAAATAAAATCTTAAAAAAAAAAAAAAGAAAGAAAGAAAACTTCCCATGGCAGGGCATCAGTGGAGGGGTCAAGATTTGGAATCCAGTGCTCTTAACTATCTAAACACATTGTATATTGTAGCATGAAAGAGGTAAATGAAAGAGCCACTTTAAGTTTCTCTTGCAAAACAATTGATGTTTGATGGATGTCTAAGACGGGTTTTCAAATGTTTGCTGCATATAAAAGTCACTTAGAGAGTTTTTTTTTTTAATTCTTGGTGCCCAGACCATAATCTCTATCAATTATTGTCAGAAAAATAGAATCTCTAGGGATAGGACCTAGGGATCAGTATTTTTTAAAACTTTCCAGTAGATTCCAATGTGCATCCAAGGTTGACAACCAAAGCTAGCACCTCACTCCTCAGATAAACAGCATCATTATCACCTGGGAACTTGTTAGAACTGCAGAAAAGAAAGAGAGAGAGAGAGAAAGAAAGAGAAAGAAAGAAAGAAAGAACTACAGAATCACAGGCCCCACCCAGAAACAAAAGAAAGAAAGAACTGCAGAATCACAGGCCCCACCCAGATTTACTGAATCTGAAGCTGCATTTTAACAAGGTTTCCAGGTGATAATTTTCATGTTAAAGTTTGAGATGCCTAATAAAGACAGAATTGAGGCCACCATATTTTTAAAAGTACCATCCATTCTTTTCTTAGAACCCTAACCAGGCCAAAAAAAACTATCAAGGGATGGCAGCCCACAAAAACAGGATTTTGTCCATAATCTCTGGTAGGGAGTGCTTTCTAGTTCAACTGAAGGAAAAAGGCATCTGAAATCCTAAGAAGTGAATAATCCACTCCATTAAGGCCTCCCTCATTAGAATAACCAGGCCCTGAG